GGCCACTGGGACACTGCAGGGCCTCTGGCAATTAAAGGAACACTGGGACGCTGGGGCAGGACATCCCCCCTGCAATGGCCCCAAGACAATGCCCCATTTGCAAAGGGGTCAGTGCTGAGCTGAGAGGGGGCCGGGACAAGGCAGGAGATGTTGGACCCCAGACTGGTTTCACCCCAAATGAAGCCCCTGATGGTGAGGGAACCCCTGGAGTCCAAGGACTGTCAGTCCCTCGGTTTCTACCAAAAAGGGCCAGTCCCCTTTCCCAGGGGCAGCTTCTTCCAACAGAACCCTTCCTGGGGGTGTGTGGAGATTCCTGCCTTGGCTGGGGACCCCCCCAAGGTCACTGTTGGAGGTTGAGAGCAGAGATCTCCCCACCTGCGCTGCTCTGGGGGAGTGTCAGAGACTGGAACAGTTAATGATTTATGCATTCTAAGAGGCTTCTGCAGGCTTTTGACTTTCTGATGGGTAACTGGGCCCATCCCCCTCCTCCAGTGCAGAAGATGTCAAGCCCCCAAAAGGCGGGAAGAGCCGAGTTTACCACGCCCTCCACATGAACTCTGTGCCAAAAAGGGGGACACCCCCCTATGGAAACAACTCCCCGCCTTGGGGGAGGTGCAAAGGATATGGATACTGACTGGTGACTTTGGGGGTTTGGGGGGGATTTTTCCTTCTTCTCCCCCCACCACCTGCGGATCAAGACCATTCCTTTTACATGGCTGGATCCAGTGGGCGGTGACTATAGACGTTTTTACCACTCTCTTCTTTTTTCTTGCTCTCCCTTACTCTTACCCTGTCCTTCTCTCCCCAATGCATTTTTCTCCTCCCCCAAAAGGTTCTCCTTGTTATATGACAGCCCCCAAAATGCTGGCATACCTGTTGATACAGAATTGTTAAAATAAACCTTGTCAATATGTTTTCAGACACCGATTATTTAGTGTCGTTTCACTTTAATCCACCCCAAGGGAATTATTGATAAAACCTGAGTTACCCCCCCCGCCTTTTTCCTGGGGCGGGTCGTAACAGTCACTGCTGTCCCTGTGATGTCACTGGTGTGCCTGTGATGTCACTGCTGTGACTGTGATGTCACTGGTGTATCTGTGATGTCACTGCTGTCCCTGTGATGTCACTGCTGTGACTGTGATGTCACTGCTGTCTCTGTGATGTCACTGCAGTCCCTGTGATGTCACCACTGTCTCTGTGATGTCACCATTGTCTTTGTGATGTCACCGCTGTCCCTGTGATGGCACTGCTGTTATTGTGATGTCACTGCTGTCCCTATGATGTCACTATTGTCCCTGTGATGTCACTGCTGTCGCTGTGATGTCACTACTGTGTCTGTGATGTCACTGATGTCTCTGTGATGTCACCGCTGTCTTTGTGATGTCACCGCTGTGTCTGTGATGTCACCACTGTCTCTGTGATGTCACCGCTGTCCCTGTGATGTCACTGCTGTGTCTGTGATGTCACTGTTGTCTATGTGATGTCACCTCTGTCTCTGTGATGTCACTCCTGTCCCTGTGATGTCACTGCTGTCTTTGTGATGTCACCGGTGTCTCTGTGATGTCATTGATGTCCCTGTGATGTCACTGCTGTACCTGTGATGTCACTGCTGTCATTGTTTTGTCACAGCTGTCCTTGTGATGTCGCTGCTTTCTCTGTGATGTCACTGCTGTCTCTGTGATGTCACCACTGTGCCTGTGATGTCACCTCTGTCCCGGTGATGTCACTGCTCTGCCTGTGATGTCAGCGATGTCTCTTCAACCAGACTGCAACCACCACTTTTCAATCAGACTGTGACCACCACTGTCAACCAGACTGCAGATCACCACTCTCGACCGAACTGCAACCACCACTCTTGACCAGACTGCACCACCACTCTCACCAACAGGGGTTTTTCCCCTCTCCCTTTCCTTTGGGCTCAGGGGGCCCAACAAACACCACTCTGTTCATGCCCCAGGGTGCTGGGTTATACATTAGGGTTTTGTGGGTTAAAACCAACTGTTTGTCTGTATAATCGTACTTATTGTGTTATTTTATTAAATTGTTATTCTGACTTATAATCTCTCTTTTGGGTTGAGTTCATTTCCCCTGCTGGTTTACCTTTAAACCAGCACAGTCAGACTGCTGAAATTACCGGGGTATTACTCTGCTCCCCATTGCTGGCAAAATCCTGGCAAGAATACTCTTGAACAGACTAACACCCACTATAGCAGAAGGAATTCTCCCTGAAAGCCAGTGTGGTTTCAGAGCCAACAGGAGCCCCACAGACATGGGATTTGTTCTCAGACAACTGCAAGAGAAGTGCAGGGAACAGAACAAGGGTCTCTATGGAACCTTTGTTGACCTCACCAAGGCTTTCGATACTGTGAGCAGGAAAGGTCTGTGGCAGATTTTGGAACGTTTAGGTTGTCCCCCCAAGTTCCTTAAAACGATCATCTCACTCCATGAGGATCAGCACGGCCAAATCAGATATGGCAATGCACTTTCTGAGCCCTTTCTAATAACCAGTGGTGTGAAACAAGGCTGCGTTCTCGCACCAACCCTATTCACAATCTTTTTCAGCAGGATGCTCCAAAGGGCCACGGCAGACCTCGATGATCAGGACGGGATCTACATCCGATACCGTACTGATGGAAGCCCTTTCAACCTAAGGCGACTGAAGGCCCACACCAAGACCTTAAACCATCTTGTCCAGGAGCTGCTTTATGCTGATGACGCCGCCCTCGTCGCTCACACAGAAGCAGCGTTTAACATCCTGCTTTGCTGAGGCTGCTGAGCTCTTTGGGCTGGAAGTCAGCTTAAAGAAGACAGAAGTTCTCCATCAACCTGCACCTCAGGAAGTCTCCCATCATCCCCACATCACCATTGGCCAGTCAGAGCTCAAATCAGTCCAGCAGTTTAATTACCTAGGGATGGTGAGATTGACAGAGAGATGGACAACAGGTTAGCAAAGGCATAGAGAGCTTTTGGAAAACTCCATAAAAGAGTTTGGCGTATTAAACACTTGAAGAAAAGCACCAAGATCAGTGTTTACAGAGCCATTGTGCTGTCTACTCTCTTATATGGATCCGAATCATGGGTCATCTACAGCCACCACCTGCGACTCCTGGAACGCTTCCATCAACGCTGCCTCCGTACAATCCTAAACATCCCCTGGTCAGATGATGTGACCAATCCATCTGTTCTAGAACAGGCAGCAGTCACAAGCATTGAGGCCATGTTGCTGAGAACACAGCTGTGCTGGGCAGGGCACGTCTCCAGGATGAAGGACCAACCACCCCCTCCCTAAGATCGTGCTCTGGGGTGAACTTGCCACCGGCTGCCGCAAGAGAGGAGCCCCGAAGAGGAGATACAAGGACTGCCTGAAACAACATCTCAGCCTTGACCATATTGATCTTCATCACTGGTCTACTCTGGCCTCCAGTCGGGAGGTCTGGAGACACCCCATCTCTAACGCTGCTGCTTCCTTTGAGAACGCAGCAGGATCACCATCGAGGAGAAAAGACAACGCAGAAAGAACCGTGTCCTGTCGATCCCATCCAAGGAGTCTTTCTACTCTGCCTTTTGCAACTGGACATGTCTGTCTCGTTTTGGCCTCTTTAGCCACCAGTGTGCTTGTAGCAAATGTGGGCAGAGCCCTTCCCAAATCTTCGTTCATGCAGCCCAGCCATGATTTTGGATCTTAATTTGGGAGTCTGGACTCATTGGTTTATTTGGTTCTGGAACTGGTCTTTGGTTTATTTGGTTTTGGAAACAGGTATTTGGTTTCTTTTGTATGATGGGTACTTCAGGTTGCAAAGAAAGCATCTTGAAGAAATCCTTTCTGGTATTTTGGATATTAACTTGTGATTTCTGGACTTATAAGTTGATTTGGTTTGGAAACTGGTATTTGGGTTATTTTGTATTCCTGAACCATTGGAAACAAATTGGGACCCCTTTGGAGGGACAAAGCTGTTGATGCTCCAGGGCTTCCAGGACCCTGAGGATTCCAGTGCCCACTGAAAGTTATTGAGGGAGATCCTCTCAGTCCCTGGATCGGGGGAGTTCCAAGCAAGATCCCTGGGATTTTATTAAGGCATTAAAAGGTTTATAAAAGGTATATAAAGGTATATAAAAGGTATATAAAGGTATATAAAAGATGTACCTAACCAACATAGAAATGGAGCTCTATAATATAATATGATTGACTTATAAAAAGTTGTGATAGAACTGTAAAAGAAGAGGTGTGATGCCTCAGAGCTTTTTGGAATTTTTAACTTTGGTAGATTTTAGAAGTAGTGCTGTAGTGATTGTAGATTTTAATGGAGCTGCATTCTATCCCTTACCCTGTAGTATAATGTTTGCACATCCCCAACCCTGTTACCCCATCCCATATCAACCCCTCTAAATCCCGTTAGCGTGTTTAGTCTTCTTTTCAAGGTAGAATTGTAGAAAAGCCTGGACCAGAAGACATCCCACAGACACAGCCACCTTCAAGCCCAGAACTCTGGAGGAACTCCAAGGACTGTGGGTGCTGCGAAGAAGATGAAGCTGAGGAAGAAGGGGTCCCAAAGAGCCCAAGCCCAATTCCCAAAGGGGTGTGTCGGGGGCAGAATGGGGCAGAAGTGGGGGGTGGAGAGATCTGGGGTTGGATGGACCTTGTTCTAAAATCCCAGAGCCACTGCCTGGGGGGTGCCCGTCGTGTGTGTTCCCCTGGCCTGAGGCTCCACTACAGGACCTGCTCTCTTTATCTCATCTCATCCACTCCCCTGGCCTGGAGTCTTCTCCTCCGCGCTCTCTTGAGGCAACGGGGACTGGACCTACCAGGTGCTGGGGATGCTGGAAATCCCCCCCGGTGCCGGGTGGAGCACGTCAGCCTGGAGCACCCCCTCAGCCGGGACTGGGATACGGCCCGGCCCCCCCAGCACCGGGGGCACACTGGGAGGGGGGTGAGGGGCTCTGGGGGCCGTGGAGGGAACTAGGAGGGAGTTTAGGGGGTAAGGGAAAGGGTCTGCGGGGGAATGGAGAGGCTGAGAAGAGGTTGGTGGGTGCTGGGAGGGCTGAGAGGGGCTTTGGGGAGTCCTGGGGGCAACTGGGAGGGAGTTTTTTGGGAGCCTTTTGGGGATGGGAGCCACCTCAGCCAAGCCCAGCGCGCCCCAAACCCCCCAAAACGGCGCCGCCCGGCTGGTTTGGGGCTGTCAGCAGCTGTCCGGCGCTGGGCATGGAGCGTGTGCGGGGAGCTGGGGCCGTGCTGGCGGTGCTGGTGGTGCTGGGAGCCCCCCCGGCTGCGGGCGAGGAGCTGTCGGGTGAGCGGGGGGGTGGGAAAGGGGGGCAAGAGGGGAGAAAAGAGGGGGTGGGAGCCCCAAAAAAGTGAGTGCGAGGGGGGTCGGAAGGCCCGGAGTGAGTGGGAGGGTGTTGGGAGCCCCAAAGTGAGGGGGCGGGGTCTGGGGATTGTGGGGCCGGTGGGAAAGGGGTGGGAGAGGGGGGCAAGGGGGTGTGGGAGAGCAGGTAGAGGGGTGCCCTGGGGGTCCCTGGGTGTCCCTTGATCCCTGGAGCGGTTCCCTGGGGCTCTGGGGGGATGGGATCGGCATTGGGGGAGTCCCCAACCCCCCCTGTCCATCCCTAGGGGGTTGATGGGGAGATTCCCCCCCAGCCAAGAGCCGGTGCTGGGGCGTCCGTGGGGCAGAGGGGGGTGGGAAAGGGGGGTCCGGGGTGGCCCCCTGAGCTCCCACCCTGCTGGGGGGGGCTGGGGGATGATGGGGGCGGGACGGGGCACCCCCTGACCCGTGTCCTGCACACACAGGGGTGTTCCAGAGGATGTTCAAGGCTGAGTGTCACTTCATCAACGGCACCGAGCGGGTGAGGTTCATGGAGAGGCACATCTACAACCGGGAACAGCAACTGCAATTCGACAGCGATTTGGGGGTCTATGTGGGGGACACCCCGTTTGGGGAGATCCAGGCCAGGAACTTGAACAGTCTCCCAGGAAGGCTGGAGTACACACGGTCTGCTGTGGACACGTACTGCTGGCCCTACTACGAACTTGATGCCCCGTTCAGCATGGAGAGGAGAGGTGAGCGTGGGGCAGAGCGGGTCCCCTTGAGCCCTGCCCCGGGAATGACGCTGGAGCCCCTCAAACCCTCCCTGGGAATCAGTCCAGACCCTTCAGCCCTCCCTGTGCCCCTTCCCGTGGCCTTTTGACCCATTCCAGTCCATCACAGTCTCCTCCACTCCTTCCAATGCCCCCTAGTCTCTCCTAGTCCATTCCAGTTTTTCGTGGTCCATCCCAGTCCATCCCAGTCTCTCCCAGTGCCCCCCCGCGTCTCCACCCCGCTGGGGCCACTGAGCTCACGCCCCTCAGCCAATCCCAGCGCGTCTCTCTGATGACGCTCCAGTTGCCAGGCAGACCCAAACCAAAGACTTCCCTCACCACGACTCAGCCTCCCAGGCCCGAGCGCTTCCTTCCCAGGCCAGAGTAGTCCATCCCAGTCCTTCCCAGTCACTTCCAGTCCCTCTCGATCCATTCCCAGACCCTCTCAGTCCATTCCCAGTCGTTCTCACTTCACTCCCACATCTCCCAACTCTCTCCCCAGTGCCCCCCCAGCCCAGCCCCTTCTCCCCCACTCTATTCCCAGTCCCTCCCACTGCCATCCCAGTCCCTCCCAGTGCCCCCCAGCTCAGCCCAGTGTCCAAGGGCAACTGGGAGGGAGTTTGGTGGGTGCTGGGGGTGATGGGAGGGGGTTGGAGGGTCCTAAAGGGTCTGGGAGGGGCTGGGTGGGATCCCTGCAGGGGCTGGGAAGGGACTGGCAGAAGGTTTGAGGGACCCCCGGGTGGGCTGGGGGAGAGCGGGCTGGGCTCTGTGGGGTGCCGGGGGGTGCGTGGGAGGAGGTTTTGGGGGTGCTGACCCCCCCGGCTCCCCCCAGAGTTGCCACCGGACACCGTCCGCAGCAAGATCCTGGTGGGGGTCGGGGGCTTCGTCTTGGGCTTGGTCTTCCTGGCGCTGGGGCTCGGCTTCTACCTGCGGGAGAAGGTAAAGGGGGGTCCCCAAATGGGGGTCGTGGCCCCCCCCTTGCTCTCCCACAGCCTCTGTGCCCCCCCTTCCCCCCACCCTGCTCTCACCCCCTTTTCTCTCCCCACAGAGCTCCTGAGCCGCCGGCGGCCGCAGCCCCTCCCCGTGGCCTCGGGCCCAGCCAGGACCCTCCAGTCCAACCCTGTCCGCACTTTTGGGGTGTCGTGTGTCCCCCCCGGCCCTACTTTTGTTTGCACCCCAGCCGGCTGCTCCCAGTGTTCCCAGTAAAGCTTCCCAGTTCTCTACAGTCCCTGTTATTGGGAGACAACTGGGGGACTCCGAAAATCCTGGGAATAAGGGGGGTTTGGGCACTCCCAGACATTGAATATCCTGGGAAAATAGGCGTTTGGAGAAATGTCAGGCCCCCAGGACAAATGAACAGGGGTGTTGGGCTCTCCCAGATCCCATAATATTGGAAAAGAGGGGCTTGGACACTCCCAGACTCCAGAAATCCTGAGAACAGGGGGTTTGGACACTCCATGATGCAAAAAATCCTGGAGAAGGGTAGTTTGGGCATATGCAGAGGCCCAAAATCCTTGCACAGGGGGATTTGGGCACATCCAGATCCCAAAATATTGAAAAAGAGGGGATTGGACACTCCCAGACTCTAAAACTCTTGGGAACAGGTCAGTTCGGGCACTTCCAGAACTACGAAATCATGGAGAAAGGTGGTTTGGACATATCCAGTGCCCAAAAATCCTGAGAACAGGGCCCTTTGGTACTCACAGACCCTGAAAATCCTGGGAAGAGGGGAGTTTGAGCACTTCCTGATCCCAAAATATCAGAAAAGAGGGGCATGGACACTCCCAGTCTCCAGAAATCCTGGTAACAGGGTGGTTTTGGCAATCCCAGAGCCACAAAATCCTGGGAAAAGGGGGAGTTGTTCAAATGTCAGCACCCTAAACTCCCATAAACGGGGGGGTTTGGGCATTGTCAGCCCCCAAAAATCCTGGAAAAGAGAGGTCTAGCTGCTAACAAACCCCAAAAATTGCGAGAACAGGGGGACTTGGGAATTCTCAGATCCCCAGAATTGTGAGAATAGGCAGGGTTTGGGCACTCCTAGACCCACAAAGTCCCAGGAACAGGGGTTTATTAGACACTCCCCCCCAAAATCCTGGAGAAAGGTGGTTTGGGCACATCCAGAGCCCAAAATATTGGAAAAGAGGGGCTTACACACTCCCAGACCCTAAAAGTCCTGGGAACAGGGAGGTTTGGGCACTCCCAGAACCACAAAATCCTGGGAACAGGAGGTTATTGGGCACCAGCAGCCACCCAAAACCTCATTCCAACGTACCCAGGTCACCCCAAACCCCATCCCCAGCAATCCTGGAACCCCCAAAACCCACCTTGGACCCCCCCAAGGCCCGGGCGGGGTCAGAAGCAGCAGCAGCCAATGGGAGCGAGCGCTGTTGTTTCGTCATCAGTTGCCGGGTAGACGAGTCCCGAACTGAGCCCCGATCGGGCTCAGCCAATCAGAGACCGCCCTGAGCTCGTTTTTGCTCAACAGGGGCACTCCCAGACCCCCAAAATCCTGGAGAAAGGTGGTTTGGACACATCCAGACCCTAAAAACCCCGGGAACGGGGGGTTTGGACATTCCCAGCCCTCCAAAAACCAAGGAACAGGGGGTTTGGGAACATTCAGACGTCAAAAATTTTGGGGACATCAGGGTGTGGGCTCTCCTAGATGCTTAAAATCCCAGGAATGTGGGGTTCATGGCACTCCCAGATCTCTAAATATTGGAAAAGAGGGGTCAGGACACTCCCAGACCCTAAAACTCCTGAGAACTGGGGGGGGGAGGGGGGGGGAATGGATATATTCAAACCCCAAAAATCCGAGGAATAGGGGGGCTTGGGCACCTTCAGACCGACAAAATCCTAGGAAAATGGGGTTTGGACAAATGTCATCCTCCTAAACCAGCATGAACAGGGGGGTTTGTGCTCTCCCAGCCCCCAAAACATCCTGGAAAAGAGAAGTTCAGGTACTCCCAGGCCCCCAAAATTGTGAAATCAGAAGGGTTTTGGCACTCCCAGACCCCAAAACATTTAAAAAGAGGAGTTAGGACACTCCTAGACCGTAAAACTCCTGGGAACAGGGGGGTTTGGTCACTCCAAGAACAACAAAATTAGGTTCTTAGGCACCCGCGGCCACCCAAAACCTAATTCCAACGTATCAAGATCACCTTAAATCCCATCTCCAGGAATCCGGGACCCCCCAAAACCCACCTTGGACCCCCCCCAGCCCCGGGGCTGCCGCGGGGGCCCCCAACGGCCCTCAGCCAATCCCAAAGCGCCCACGCCGCCCGCGCCCAATCCCAGCGCGCCGCGCTGATGACTCATCAGTCGCCGGGAAGACGCCTCGAAAAAAGGGCCCCAACTGCGCCCTCAGCCAAGCCCAGCGCGCCCCAAACCCCCCAAAACGGCGCCGCCCGGCTGGTTTGGGGCTGTCAGCAGCTGTCCGGCGCTGGGCATGGAGCGTGTGCGGGGAGCTGGGGCCGTGCTGGCGGTGCTGGTGGTGCTGGGAGCCCCCCCGGCTGCGGGCGAGGAGCTGTCGGGTGAGCGGGGGGGGCGGGAATGAGGAGAGGGTGTGAAAGGGGGGGAAAGAGGGGAGAAAAGAGGGTGTGGGAGCCCCAGAAGTGAGTGGGAGGGGGTTTGGAAGTGCCGGACTGAGTGGAAAGGGGGTTGGAGCCCCAAAGTGAGGGTGGGGGGTTCTGGGGATTGGGGGGACGGTGGGAAAGGGAGGGGGGGAAAGGGGTGGTGGGAGAGCAGGCAGGGGGGTGCCATGGGGGTCCCTCGGTGTTCCTTGAGCCCTGGTGGGGGGTTCAGTTCCTGGGGCTCTGGAGGGGGTTGTATCCGCATTGTGGGGGTCCCCAACCCCGCGGTCCATCCCCGGAGGACTGATGAGGGGGTTCCCCTCACTCAAGAGCCGGTGCTGGGGCATCTGTGGGATGGAGTGGGTTGGGAAAGGGGGGTCCGGGGTGGCCCCCTGAGCTGTGGGGGGCTGGGGGATGATGGGGGGAACGGGGCACCCCCTGACCCGTGTCCTGCACACACAGGGGTGTTGCAGTGGATGGGAAAACAGGAGTGTCATTTCATCAATGGCACCGAACAGGTGAGGTTCCTGGAGAGGCACATCTACATCCGGGAGCAGCTCCTGCATTTTGACAGCGATGTGGGGGTCTATGTGGGGGACACCCCATTTGGGGAGATCCAGGCCAGAGACTACAACAGCCATCGTGAATATCTGGGGGGCAACTGGGAGGGAGACTGGGGGGTGCTGGGGGTGCTGGGAGAGGGGTTGGAGGGTCCTAAAGGGGGCGGGAGGGTCTGGGTGGGATCCTTAAGGGGGCTGGGAAGGGACTGGCAGGAGGTTTCAGGGACCCCCGGGTGGGCTGGGGGAGAGCGGGCCGGGCTCTGTGGGGTGCCGGGGGGTGCGTGGGAGGAGGTTTTGGGGGTGCTGACCCCCCCGGCTCCTCCCAGAGATGCCACCGGACACCGGCCACAGCAAGATCCTGGTGGGGGTCGGGGGCTTCGTCTTGGGCTTGGGCTTCCTGGCGCTGGGGCTCGGCTTCTACCTGCGGGAGAAGGTAAAGGAGGGTCCCCAAAGGGGGGGCGTGTCCCCCCCCTTGCTCTC